TTTATCCTCATATCAGCCTCCCATCTCTCTCTCCTGCTCATATCTTGACCCATGAGCCTCTCCTTTTCGCTGTTTGTGTTTTCAGTGTCTATTTGGATTCTGTGCTCCTGCGCTGATGACTAAATTATGATTGGGCGTAAGGATAGCAGGGCTTTCATCTGCCCAGCGTTGTTCCACGCTTTCCTCTCCAACACAAAGGGCCCCTCTGCCTCTGCTTGGCCCGCTTTTGAAGAGCAGAGTGGCTATGCGTCCCCATGGAAACCGCTGCGTTCCCTACAGGACCAAGGTGTATCTCAGATGGAGAGAGACTGAAACAACATCAAGCCATCTCTCAATCATTTATCTGTTTATTAATTTTCAATGCCCGTGTCCTTCTACAGGCTCTGAGGGTTCGAGCATGCTGGTGTGTTTGATGCAAATAATGAAGTTTTGATGTTAGCTGATTTAGTGATCTGTGAGCTACGACAAAATGTTTACCATTGCCCTTTTAGATAGATAAGCATATACATATGTTGTTTGTATTTATTTGTTTACAAATTGTGACACGGTGACGCAGTGGGTAGCATTGTCACCTCACAGCAAGAAGGTCACTGGATCGAGCCCCAGCTGGGTCATTTGGCATTTCTGTGTGGAGTTTGCATGTTCTCCTTGTGTTTGCGAGGGTGCTCCGGTTTCCCTCACAGTAGAAAGACATATAGATTAAATGAATAAGCTAAATTGACAATAGTGTATGTGTGTGAATGAAAGAGTTTATAGGTGTTTGTGTTTCCCAGTGCTGGGTTGTGGCTGGAAGGGCATCCACTGCGTAATAACATATGCTGGATAAGTTGGTGGTTCATTCTGCAGTAGCGACTCTAGGCCAAAAAGAAAATGAATGAATAAATGTTTTTCTTGCACATGTCTTAAAAATATGTTATTTTGAGTTTTACAGATAATAAAATAAGGTCAAATAGGTTTGTAACAAGTAAAGAGAGAGTAAATTGTGCTTTTAATATATATTTTAAAACGGAATTGGTCTTATCAGGTGAGGATCCTTAAATTGACCAATGAAATCGGCTGTGTGGGGCGGGGTTTGAGTTGCGTCGTGCGGGTGTTCCAGTGTCTTATGTCGGAATCATCACAGGTCTGTTTCATATTCATAGGCTTCATTTCCTGTGGTACAATAGCAATCTTTACATTGACAAAAGCCAGTGAAAGAGTCTCCATTCACACAGGGAGAATCCAATTATCACGGCACAATGGTGTCAGTCTGAGGCACGAGGTCTTCATCCGCTCTCTCTGATGACCAGCCTCACATCTATCTAATAAAGTCAAGCACACTTGGCCTGGAGTGTGTAGGTAGTAGTCAGGCTATTCAGTGCTGAGACATAATTCTCCGGTCTCTTGGTGGAAGTTACACGCAAAGGTAATGGACTCATTTTAGAAGCTCTTGTTTTCCAGTCAAACACTCATTATATTACTTTATTAAATAAATGTGCATCATTTTCACATTTAATAACGATGTTCTTAACAACACTCTTCTTTTAAAGACTCAATAGGAAAATTCTATTTTTATAAACAGATGATAGCCTTCCCTCAATAAGCTGTCCTTTTTGACGTCATTTTGCTGCCATCTAGTGATCGAAGTGTGTCAGAAGCTCATGAACTGAAAACACTGAGTGATGAAAACACTTGACAGTAGAGACAGACATAAATGCTTACCGACCTGTACCACTCAGTGGAAACGGCGGAATAAATTTCATCAGGTAAGAAACAGACGTGAAAAATAATTAAAAATGTAATAAAGTCCCAGTACCTCACCGCTGCTGCATTAAACAGCTTAAACCAGCCTAAGCTGGTTGACTGGTTTTAGCTGCTGCCTGATTTTAGAGGGGGTTTGGGTCAGCTAGCCTGGTCTTAGCTGGTCAGGCTGAGAGATTACCAGCTAAACCAGTTTGACCTGCCAGGCAGGGAGCCCAACCAGTAATGTCAAGATAAACTGGTCAAGGTGGTTTTAGCTGGTCATTTTTCCAGCCTGACCAGATAATACCAGACTGAAAATTAGTTAGGAAATTAGGCTAATTATTTAGGCTAGTCTTCAATGAAGTGTTCAGGAATGATGAGGTAGGGTCTCTCTCACTGATTCACACGTTTGCTCTGACCTATTGTCGTTTTCTGCAAATGAAGGCTCTATTTTATTGCATTAGTGTTCTTTTGTAAACATATTATCATCAGTTTATGAAATAAAAATAGAGAGCTGTAACTACATTTAAGGTACATTCCCAACCTAACTTCATTCTGAAAGGTTAGACACTGAGAATTTCATACTAGGTTATTTCAAACTTTAACAGCTATTTAACGGTTTACCATCACATTTTGTGGGATGCACTTTAGAGTTCCTAATAACTGACATTATTCAATAAAAAAACCCAGAAAACAAATCAGACTATAATAAACCATGATACTCTTCTTAAAGTTTCATTTATTAATGACACAAGACCTTATCACATAAACACACAGACTGACATAAACAGAAACATAAGAGGAAATTCATTTGTGGTAAAGTGACAGACCGTAATGAGTGTGGAAAATAAAGAGGAATGTCTACAGGCATACCTACCAGCCTTTCAATTAAAAGCAGGTATTTAAATAATTAAGACCCAATCTCACTGTTCTTGCAACAGCTTCAAAAGTGAAACAAATACAAATGCGGACGGTAAGGCAACAGGTGTTCAAGCACCTGAGAGATGGGCTGTAGCACAAAAATACACACATTTATGCACTACAAGAGACATGATACAAATGAAATAAGCTGCAAAGATAACTATTCCCATATGAATGTTTTCAGTTAGTTTTTAAAAAGAGTGATACAGTAGTTTCTTCCATTTAAAAAGGCACTTTCATGTCTTCTGTTGAAAGTGCATTGCTCCCTCTACTGGTTGTAGTGGTGATGTTTCTCTGTGTTTTTGGTCCCAGTTAAACTTGAGATGATGTGAAGAGTTTGTGGCTTGATAAGAATTCAGGGTTCTGTGTCAGTGTGTTTGTGTGAGTGTCCCACAAAAACCCTACAGCTTTAAAGTTTGGGTTGGCTTGATAGTTTTATCTTCAGATTCTCTGCCAGTTTGTCCAAGAACTCAAAAGTGTTGAGGTAATCTGAACGCGTGACACTGTGGAAAAAGAAAAATAGAAAATCAGAAACAAAACAATATACAAACATGTTTGCACAGGCATATGAAGTCATTTCTATACTGTAAAAACTTGTCTATACAAAAAACTGTTATGCCATAACATGTTTTTATCAATGTTATTTTGCCAGTTTATTGTTCAATGAGTATCAAGATTTTGGCATTCTCGACCGTCAAGCCCATTATGATATTTACATTATGAAAAAAGATGTTTATTATTTAATTTTAACCTTTAAGACGCCCAAAAGTATGATCAAATATGATCAATGTATAGGCCATGTTTACAGTTTCTTGTATGAATACCCAATTTATATGATTAAAATGTAAACATTATAACCAGGTCAAAATTTATTTTAAATATAAATTTCTATTAAGTTAAATATTTAGATTTTTTCAGCATTCATTACAATGCTATATTTATTTAGAAATTTATTGCCTTATTCACAAACAGTTAGTGCATTTGTTTAATTTTTTTTCTGTAATATTCATTTTAATTACAAATATTAGATAATTATTTTATTAATCATTTCTTTTTTGATAATATAATTTTTATATATTCATAAGTCTGTTTAAAAACTAATAATAATAAAATTTTTTCACATTTGTTTGTCTTTTCTTAAATCTTTTCATTGACATTACCCCCCTTTCAGGCCTCTTGGGGTCTCCACTATGACAATCCCTTTGCTGGCTGACAATAGTAGCGTGGAAAGTACACATTTCACCTTTAACACTATTTATGCCATCTAGTTAAAGTCCCTTATGCATTAAACACGTGCCCAACACAACTCAATCTGACAGAATATTCTCAATAAAATGTTGTTCCAAATATCCTTAAGCATAAAATAAGCATATAATGGACATACCCAGACATGCCCTTGATGCAGATGGCCAGGTCTTTGGTCATAAAACCAGCTTCAATGGTCTCGACACAAACAACCTCCAGTGCCTCAGCAAACACCCGCAGCTCTGCGTTCTTATCCAGCTCCGCCCGGTGTAGCAGCCCTCGAGTCCACGCAAAGATAGAGGCTGATGGGACAAAATATTTATTCTGTGAAGTTGCAAAAAGCTGTGCAGTCAAAAACTAAATTAAGCATTGCTAACTTTCAAATCAACAAGCTTTCTGTTGTCCAACACAGGAAATTTGCATGACAAATTACCTTGATTAAAATTTGTGTAGTGAATTTTTGCAGCTTTATATATTTATTTTATATAGGCTGTATATATTTAGTGTAAATATTAATATTTTGAAATATTTTAAATGTAATAAATGTTTGATGATTTATACTTAAAATATGTGTTATAAATAATTATGAATAGAAGGGCGCAAGATTAAACCCCAATGCAAAACTCCCGATCGCAGGAATTCACACAGTAATAATTGGATTTTGACTGCTAAATTTTGCTGAGCAATGGCCTATTTAACTACAGCTTCAAGATGATAGTGAAAGAAGTGTTGTCTTTACCGATGGGGTTGGTGGACGTCTCTTTGCCCTGCTGGTGCATACGATAGTGTCTTGTCACAGTGCCGTGGGCCGCCTCAGCTTCTACTGTACGCCCATCGGGACATACAAGCACACTGGTCATCATGCCCAATGATCCATAACCTAGGAAAAGACACCAGAAAGCACACACTCTAAATATCAATTCTTTCACAATAAATAAAGTGATTAGGCAAAGAAATTAAAGGTTTTGCAGCCTATTTAAACCAATTCAGCATAAAACTACACAATACCAAATATTATTTATATTTTGAGATTTTGCAATGTTTTCAAAAGAAGCCTCTTATGCTAACCAAGGCATCATTTGTTTAACAACAAAGTTATAAGTCACAGAATTCAGGGTTCTGTGTCAGTGTGTTTGTGTGAGTGTCCCACAAAAACCCTACAGCTTTAAAGTTTGGGTTGGCTTGATAGTTTTATCTTCAGATTCTCTGCCAGTTTGTCCAAGAACTCAAAAGTGTTGAGGTAATCTGAACGCGTGACACTGTGGAAAAAGAAAAATAGAAAATCAGAAACAAAACAATATACAAACATGTTTGCACAGGCATATGAAGTCATTTCTATACTGTAAAAACTTGTCTATACAAAAAACTGTTATGCCATAACATGTTTTTATCAATGTTATTTTGCCAGTTTATTGTTCAATGAGTATCAAGATTTTGGCATTCTCGACCGTCAAGCCCATTATGATATTTACATTATGAAAAAAGATGTTTATTATTTAATTTTAACCTTTAAGACGCCCAAAAGTATGATCAAATATGATCAATGTATAGGCCATGTTTACAGTTTCTTGTATGAATACCCAATTTATATGATTAAAATGTAAACATTATAACCAGGTCAAAATTTATTTTAAATATAAATTTCTATTAAGTTAAATATTTAGATTTTTTCAGCATTCATTACAATGCTATATTTATTTAGAAATTTATTGCCTTATTCACAAACAGTTAGTGCATTTGTTTAATTTTTTTTCTGTAATATTCATTTTAATTACAAATATTAGATAATTATTTTATTAATCATTTCTTTTTTGATAATATAATTTTTATATATTCATAAGTCTGTTTAAAAACTAATAATAATAAAATTTTTTCACATTTGTTTGTCTTTTCTTAAATCTTTTCATTGACATTACCCCCCTTTCAGGCCTCTTGGGGTCTCCACTATGACAATCCCTTTGCTGGCTGACAATAGTAGCGTGGAAAGTACACATTTCACCTTTAACACTATTTATGCCATCTAGTTAAAGTCCCTTATGCATTAAACACGTGCCCAACACAACTCAATCTGACAGAATATTCTCAATAAAATGTTGTTCCAAATATCCTTAAGCATAAAATAAGCATATAATGGACATACCCAGACATGCCCTTGATGCAGATGGCCAGGTCTTTGGTCATAAAACCAGCTTCAATGGTCTCGACACAAACAACCTCCAGTGCCTCAGCAAACACCCGCAGCTCTGCGTTCTTATCCAGCTCCGCCCGGTGTAGCAGCCCTCGAGTCCACGCAAAGATAGAGGCTGATGGGACAAAATATTTATTCTGTGAAGTTGCAAAAAGCTGTGCAGTCAAAAACTAAATTAAGCATTGCTAACTTTCAAATCAACAAGCTTTCTGTTGTCCAACACAGGAAATTTGCATGACAAATTACCTTGATTAAAATTTGTGTAGTGAATTTTTGCAGCTTTATATATTTATTTTATATAGGCTGTATATATTTAGTGTAAATATTAATATTTTGAAATATTTTAAATGTAATAAATGTTTGATGATTTATACTTAAAATATGTGTTATAAATAATTATGAATAGAAGGGCGCAAGATTAAACCCCAATGCAAAACTCCCGATCGCAGGAATTCACACAGTAATAATTGGATTTTGACTGCTAAATTTTGCTGAGCAATGGCCTATTTAACTACAGCTTCAAGATGATAGTGAAAGAAGTGTTGTCTTTACCGATGGGGTTGGTGGACGTCTCTTTGCCCTGCTGGTGCATACGATAGTGTCTTGTCACAGTGCCGTGGGCCGCCTCAGCTTCTACTGTACGCCCATCGGGACATACAAGCACACTGGTCATCATGCCCAATGATCCATAACCTAGGAAAAGACACCAGAAAGCACACACTCTAAATATCAATTCTTTCACAATAAATAAAGTGATTAGGCAAAGAAATTAAAGGTTTTGCAGCCTATTTAAACCAATTCAGCATAAAACTACACAATACCAAATATTATTTATATTTTGAGATTTTGCAATGTTTTCAAAAGAAGCCTCTTATGCTAACCAAGGCATCATTTGTTTAACAACAAAGTTATAAGTCACAGAATTCAGGGTTCTGTGTCAGTGTGTTTGTGTGAGTGTCCCACAAAAACCCTACAGCTTTAAAGTTTGGGTTGGCTTGATAGTTTTATCTTCAGATTCTCTGCCAGTTTGTCCAAGAACTCAAAAGTGTTGAGGTAATCTGAACGCGTGACACTGTGGAAAAAGAAAAATAGAAAATCAGAAACAAAACAATATACAAACATGTTTGCACAGGCATATGAAGTCATTTCTATACTGTAAAAACTTGTCTATACAAAAAACTGTTATGCCATAACATGTTTTTATCAATGTTATTTTGCCAGTTTATTGTTCAATGAGTATCAAGATTTTGGCATTCTCGACCGTCAAGCCCATTATGATATTTACATTATGAAAAAAGATGTTTATTATTTAATTTTAACCTTTAAGACGCCCAAAAGTATGATCAAATATGATCAATGTATAGGCCATGTTTACAGTTTCTTGTATGAATACCCAATTTATATGATTAAAATGTAAACATTATAACCAGGTCAAAATTTATTTTAAATATAAATTTCTATTAAGTTAAATATTTAGATTTTTTCAGCATTCATTACAATGCTATATTTATTTAGAAATTTATTGCCTTATTCACAAACAGTTAGTGCATTTGTTTAATTTTTTTTCTGTAATATTCATTTTAATTACAAATATTAGATAATTATTTTATTAATCATTTCTTTTTTGATAATATAATTTTTATATATTCATAAGTCTGTTTAAAAACTAATAATAATAAAATTTTTTCACATTTGTTTGTCTTTTCTTAAATCTTTTCATTGACATTACCCCCCTTTCAGGCCTCTTGGGGTCTCCACTATGACAATCCCTTTGCTGGCTGACAATAGTAGCGTGGAAAGTACACATTTCACCTTTAACACTATTTATGCCATCTAGTTAAAGTCCCTTATGCATTAAACACGTGCCCAACACAACTCAATCTGACAGAATATTCTCAATAAAATGTTGTTCCAAATATCCTTAAGCATAAAATAAGCATATAATGGACATACCCAGACATGCCCTTGATGCAGATGGCCAGGTCTTTGGTCATAAAACCAGCTTCAATGGTCTCGACACAAACAACCTCCAGTGCCTCAGCAAACACCCGCAGCTCTGCGTTCTTATCCAGCTCCGCCCGGTGTAGCAGCCCTCGAGTCCACGCAAAGATAGAGGCTGATGGGACAAAATATTTATTCTGTGAAGTTGCAAAAAGCTGTGCAGTCAAAAACTAAATTAAGCATTGCTAACTTTCAAATCAACAAGCTTTCTGTTGTCCAACACAGGAAATTTGCATGACAAATTACCTTGATTAAAATTTGTGTAGTGAATTTTTGCAGCTTTATATATTTATTTTATATAGGCTGTATATATTTAGTGTAAATATTAATATTTTGAAATATTTTAAATGTAATAAATGTTTGATGATTTATACTTAAAATATGTGTTATAAATAATTATGAATAGAAGGGCGCAAGATTAAACCCCAATGCAAAACTCCCGATCGCAGGAATTCACACAGTAATAATTGGATTTTGACTGCTAAATTTTGCTGAGCAATGGCCTATTTAACTACAGCTTCAAGATGATAGTGAAAGAAGTGTTGTCTTTACCGATGGGGTTGGTGGACGTCTCTTTGCCCTGCTGGTGCATACGATAGTGTCTTGTCACAGTGCCGTGGGCCGCCTCAGCTTCTACTGTACGCCCATCGGGACATACAAGCACACTGGTCATCATGCCCAATGATCCATAACCTAGGAAAAGACACCAGAAAGCACACACTCTAAATATCAATTCTTTCACAATAAATAAAGTGATTAGGCAAAGAAATTAAAGGTTTTGCAGCCTATTTAAACCAATTCAGCATAAAACTACACAATACCAAATATTATTTATATTTTGAGATTTTGCAATGTTTTCAAAAGAAGCCTCTTATGCTAACCAAGGCATCATTTGTTTAACAACAAAGTTATAAGTCACAAAATTATGTTGTGAAATATTATAAACAAATAAAAATGATCAATTTCTGTTTTCATGTACTTTAAAAAAAATGTCATTCATTCTTATGATGGCAAGAGGAATTTGCAGCATTGTAACCCCAGTCTTCAGGTGCTTTAAAAAAATACATGATCCTTAAACTCATTCTAATATGATGATTTGGTGCTCAACAAATGTATTTAACGAGCTACATTCAATTATAAAAACAGATTTATGTGTGTATACTGTGATTCAACATTTCAGGATTATTTGATCATTAGAAAAACAGCATTAATTTGACAAAAACTACTGTGACATTTGACCTTTTACTTTGCTTGCCTTTAATGCACTCTTGCTGGAAAGTATGCATTTATTAAGTATACATTTGCATTTTGGCATTGAAATATGTTGGTATAGTAATAAGGGACTATGAAAGAATGGGCATAGGGCATCAGGCTATAGAAATAAGAAAGTATAAAAATATTAATATATACACATACATTAATAATATAAATAAATATGGGAGAATGGAAGCATGGGGACATGACAATATAGTAGTATGAAATATGGGAATATGAGAGTATAGAAGTACAGAAAATGGGGGAAAAGGAGTATAGGAGCATGGAAGTATAAAACGTACAGGAATATGTATAAGAAGATAATTTTCCGTAATTCTGTAAATTTATTACTAACCTTGAGCTACAGAATCTGACTGCACGTCTCCATCGTAGTTCTTGCAGGCCCAGATAAACCCACCTTCAGACTTCATGGCCTGAGCCACCATGTCATCAATCAGCCGATGCTCATACCAGATGCCCATGGCCTCATACTTGGCCTTGTACTCTCTGGAACACAGTTTCAAAAGGTTATATTTCTACATTTATTTCTTCATTGTTTGTTATTCTGTCAGCTTATTCAGTGCAGCCATAATTGATTAACAACAGGCAGGAGCGATTCTATTTTTTTTATTCAATACAAACAGGCGTTTACTATTCCTCATCTTAAAATTCAAGACTATAATGACATATTTTGTGAAATCGGGTTAGACATACCCCTGGAGACAGAAGGAAATGCTATTTAGTAAAGAATATATATATATATATATATATATATATATATTGTATATGTAAGCCTTTAAAACTAGTTTTAAAATGGAAGGATTTTTTTATCATAATCAAGAATGCAAAGAAAGGACTTGGCTTCTCACTGTGATCTTTCTGATGGTCACTTGACCTTTATGCGTTTTAACGGAAAACAATTTAAACATTAACTTTCATACAATGACTTATCTTTTTTCTATCTATCTATCTATCTATCTATCTATCTATCTATCTATCTATCTATCTATCTATCTATCTATCTATCTATCTATCTATCTATCTATCTATCTATCTATCCATCTATCCATCTATCTATCTATCCATCTATCCATCTATCTATCTATCTATCTATCTATCCTGTACTGTACTGAACTGTAAAAAAGCATTTTGAATGCACATACTGTACAGCCAATTCAGATTTTTATATGAATTTCAGCAAATAAACACATTTCCAAGTGTTTATTTAGGTGTTTATTTAGGAAAACTCCTAAGAAAAACAAGTTATATCTTGAATATGAAATGTTGGGCTTGACTGCATTCTATGCATCCTCCATAAAAACACGTGGTTTCCTTCACTCGTCCTTGTTTTGCGCTCTTGAATATTTGAATTGACCTTTGGTGGTTGATCATGACATTACATAAGAACATAAGATCACTTATAGAATGTATATTGAGAAACAGCCATTGTCTCCATCGATTACCAGAGACTTTTTTCAGTAACCATGTAACCAGCGACTCACTTGTCATAGATCTCCTGGAAAATATCTTTGAAACGCCCATCATATTTCTTCAGGATAGTGTTTTTGGTGCTGAGGTACATTGGCCAGCCTTTATTCAGGCCCATCTGGAAAGAGCTGTGAGCAAAGTCCCGGATTGACTTGTCTGTGTTGTACATTCCCAGAGCTACTCCACCGGTACCTGAGCATATCAAATAAAATCATTCAGATTTTCAAGATAACATGCTTTGAACAAATATCTGCTTGTGCCAATTAGATTTAGAAGCAAGTGGACAATATTTCAAGAATGTTAAATGAAATCTTTGCACAGTGTCTAATACTTGAAACCTTAAATACCAAATAACTGTACCCAAAAAAAAAACCAATGTAATATTGACAAGACAACGACGCTCTGTGCTCAAACAGGTGACAGTCCACTGTTATGACATCATCATATAAAGACACTATTTGGGATACAGGGCTGTATCTGACATTTCATGTGTCCATATTACAGAGTTTTATTACAAAATTCTAGAATTTGAAGTATTTATAAAACAGCAAATGAATTACCTTCAAAGTCATGGACAACAAATTTCAGTGTCTCTCCTCCGTTTTTGGGTTTGTATGTCATTTCCACTGTTCCAGGGCCAGGCACAACAAAATCTGTTGCCTTGTACTGCAAAAGTCAAGATGACAGGTTATTAAAGGAGACTTTTGAACGTTTAAAATGACTCTTTATTATGTTTTTTTTATTTTTAATTTTAAAGAGCATACAAAGTTATAGGTCAAAGTGCACAATAAATGGAGCCATCATCACCCCCATAACCCCCCTCCTTTGAACAAGCATTCAATAATTCCAGATTTACCTCCACAAACCTGTTTATTTGCTAGAAATCTGCACAGTGCACACTTACAGAAGATGCAGACTCTGGATCAAATTAAGTTAAACTGATGGAATTGTTAATGATTGTATCACCATATGCTAAAAAAGCCTTGAAAGCTAAAATCCTGATATGTAATGAGCATTTTTGAAATA